GGGTAGATTTCTTTGCCGTCATCTTTAAAGCACTCCATCTCAGCTAGTTCCCATATTCTCGTATTTTACACCTCCCTTTTCTCTCACCATATCACCCTTATTTCCACCCTCCGTGATACTGGGGTCGGTATTTTACTTACGGGTAAAGGAGCTTAGTGACGAGAATCCCCTCAGGAGATCATAGCCCGGGTCGGTGTGGAATGCGTCGAACTCAAGCTGGAAGGCTTTGCCAATGTTGAGGGACCACACGCACGTGATACTGTTGGGATAGTTACTGGGATAGTTGGGTGACATCACGGTTTGTTCCAGATCAGTAAGGATACCACCGCAGGCTGCGCAATGGTAAAAAAAGAGAAAAAAATTTAATCAATTAGACGTAAAACACGAGGTAAAAACACATTCGCGTACATGTATACAACATTCAGTGGGGTAGGTGTCTTTAGTTTTGCCTTCCTTGTTTAATTCTGAGCTACAAAACATGAATTAATTTAAGAAATGTTGGCTTGATTTTTTTTAAAAAAAGAAAAAAAAAGAAAAAAAAAAAAAAAAAAAAAAACAGAAAGACGTGCGAGTCGTGTCGAGTCGTGGACGTCTAGGAATATTCACGGGATGTTTCAAAGAACTAATTGCAGCCAGTTTGCTGTTTTGTCTTCAGCCTGGTTGGTCATTCGATCACGCACCTGACTAAGGGACCAGAACCAGTCACCAAATGTCGTAGATGAGACACAGGTGGACACAACAACATTTTTTGCTTCTTCCCTTACCGCCAGTTACACTTATTAATGAAATTCTGATTACTCTGACACTCTCTTTCATTGTCGCGGTAAGACTGCACGCGCAGACGTTTCAGAAATTTACCTGTTTTTCTTTTTTCTCGTGACAAAAATATAAGAGAAACGTTGCTCTAAAGATGATAGTTTAAATCAGAAGATGTGCATCATGTAGTTACTTACTGACTTGAGTGTACGATGCAGAAAATCCTTCCGAACTCTCACTACCGTCAGAGATAAACCGAATATCAATCGCATTATTTTCAGATGTGAAGGCAATCGCCTTGGTGTGAACTCCAGATAATTTGGTTATGAGCTGTTGGGAGACGCCATCATAGATCTCCACAATGTCCTTGTCCTTCTGTGTCTTGAAGGAGTTGAATGTGACCATGACCTTCTTTCCAGACGGCACACTAATCTTCCAGCGGCAGTAAGCATTATCGGGATAGCTGTTTGGGTTGTTTGGAGAGCTGAAGCTGCCAGAGGGACCAACAAGACTGGCTCCGCAAGATGACACTAGTAAGTAACGTTAAACGAATCTGTTAAGATCGGTGAGGATGAACCTCCCACACAAGAGAAATGTCCTTACTACGGATCGGACGTGCGACCTGTCTTAGTTTGGACGCTCTTGTTGCACTGTCTTATTTGTGTATTATGTCGAATGATTGGTTCTTACTTATGATCTATACATATTGGAGTGATACGCTCATCTGAGGGCTTAATTGGGTGGCACGTTTTTGCTCTTACCACATTTTGACGTCATCTGTGATCTATTACTGAACAGACACACGTTAAGGAATGCTAATTTCCAGAGTTTAGTAAACGGCAATTGTTTTTATATTCTGAGTTTGATATTGCTGTCTTCATGGAGGAGAGAGTTCTAGAGGAAGAGGCTTTATATAATACTGCCCTTTATATCACTCATGTGAAACAATATCCAAGTGCACGATAGATTCAGGACAATAAACTTAAGAAAACATTTTCAGACTTACCATCGACGCGCCAAGCATTAAGTTTTATTTGTCGAAGCTTTAACACTCGCTGAGTTATGGAGGGGTAGTAGTGATGGTAATAGAGAAATCTGCCTCTCACAGTCACAAATTGCAAACAAACAAACAAACAAACAAACAAACAAAACCACTCCGAATAAAAAACTCACGAATTCAACTTACCAACGCAAGTGGCTATAGACCCCGACCATTTTCCGTCCAGTTGGCACGTTCGTTCCCTCGAACCAGACAGCTGGTAGCCTGGGTTACAGTCGTAGACGATAGTCTTTCCATAAGTGAAATCTGATCCTAGTCTCTCCCCATTTGCAGGGGTGCCGGGATCGCCGCAGTCGACAACTAAAGGGAAACGAGAAGGCGTAATGATGGCAGTTAAGCAGAAGAATCATAACCCAACGAACCGAGCATACTTCAAGCTAGCTCCATCTAAAAGCGGTTTTCATTTGAATAGAAGGATTTTCACTAGAGCGTCGTTCGAAACTAATTCTCATTTGCTTTGGTTTTGCATGACTTTGCTAAAGATTGTCTTTTCACCCAACCAGAAGTAAAACGAGACCAACCATGATTTGTTCGTACACGTTTTCCAGCGATTTGCCTGAGCTACACGAATTTGCTTCCAGCCTTGATTGGTTCACTGGATTATGCGAGCTCTTCGTAACTGGCCATAGAGATTACTTTGGTTTTGGTTTCACCCAAGGGAATTGATAGTCTCTTGGTTTTACCATAATCAATTGCAAAGCGCCCTAATGCCAAGACCAAAGCAATCACCACATGCAGGCATTCGCGACAGCGAAATAGACCATTGACAACACAACGGAAATACATAAAACAAGCGCTAGAGACTTGCGTGAAAACACAGACACTACTAAGAATTTTCAAAAGGCATTCCGTTCAGGAGGTGCCTAGTTAGCCAATCAAAACCCGTCTTTGTCTTTATCTGCCGCTTGGCCATGATGAAAGCGTAATCAACTTACGTTGGCAAGTTGGTTGTGTTCCGTCCCAGTTATTGTCTGTTTGACACGTTCTGGTGCTGGAGCCAATAAGATTGTACCCCTCATTGCACTGGAAGGAAACAACATCGTGGTACTTGTAGCTCTCACCGACCTTGATTCCATTTGCAGGTGTACCCGGATTGCCACAGGAATTCTCTGTTGATCAGGCAGGAAAATGAGTTTGGAATAATAAATCATTGTTGGTAAATAATTTGATAGGAAATTAAATAGCTGTGGATAGGCGGCGACTTCAAAGAACGAAATGGATACACAGAGCTCTGACACTGGCAATAACTAAGAATGGCCGGTATGGCCAATATCGTTAGTTTGTGTGCGCAAACGCAGCGTGCAAATAGGGAATGTATTACGAATTTCTTAACAAAGCGAAGGTCGACACAGCATGTCGAATTGGTTTAAGACAAGAAAGGTTTTTGTGGACCAAGCCAAACTTGGGCTAATCATCAGAAATTATCTGTGGTTCTAGGAGCTGCGTCAGGAATCATGTTAGAGGTTGTTATGGAAAAGCAGACGCCATTCCCAAAGTAGATTGCCTGCATGAGCTTAGTTGATATTGAAGTGACGTATGCAAAAGTGCTTCTGGACGGGTCATCTAAGCTAACATATCATCCCCAGTACTCACCAAGACAAGCAGGTTGAGTTCCACTCCATGTGCCATCGGCCTGACATGTTCTCTCTTGTGATCCCGACAGCTTGAAGTTTGCGGCATTGCACGAGTATGTTACTTTGGCATCATACGAGTAGTCTGAACCAGATATTTGTCCATTTGCTATTGCCGGAGGAGCACCGCAATTGACCACTAAGAAAATGAGTAAATTATAACTTGTCACGTATGTTGCATGGAGAAATCTCCTGTTATGCCGCTGCTCTCTTGTCCTTTCGAATACCTTTGGGTAAGGAGTTGTACATATACGTGTCTACACTCGGAAAAATAAAGTAAATCTCTTCAAACTACTAAGTGTTACAAGCTTTGTGGAAAGTGGTGTCAGGCTACAGTTTTGAAATAAAAGTAAAATTCTACTTTGGGTAGCTCTTTAGAAGACGAATCAATAAAACAGAATTGGGAGCTATTGGAAAGGGGGTTGTACGTACACAATCACAAAATACATTTTTAAGAACTATGTTGTAGCGGTTCTGGCCCAATACCCCACCAAGGACCGGGTAAGGAACTGAAGAGATGTTGTAGTTGCAAATTGTAAAATCAGGTTCAGCTTTACAATTTGTTTTCATGGCCTTGTGACGCAGCGGAATTTAATGCTGCATATAGTACTTACAGTTACATGAAGGCGTAGGCGAGTTCCAAGCCCCTCCTTGACAAATGGCGTAAGATTGTCCAACCATCTTATAACCAACATCACATTCATATCTGATCGTGTCACCATTTTTCCTTTGAAGGCCAATCAGCTTACCATTAGTCGGCACTGCGGGCTCGGGGCAGTCAGCAGCTACGAGAAGTAGGAATGCGCAGGAGTTTGCATTAGTCCGTGACGTCATCAATTTCTGCTACATGCATCTACCAGAATATCTTACCAAGATAACTGATCCTAGATGTT